GAGATACACCCTAAGTCTCTTTACTCTGTGTGTGTGTGTGTGTGTTTGACACAGAGTCTCATGTGACTCAGGAGGATTTCCAAATTCCTGAGCAGTTGAGGATGGCCTTGAACAGCTACTATTTCTGATTCCAGTTCCTACGATCTAGTCTTGCACCATCACACCTGGTGAGAGAGAATCCCTCTTGCCAGATGACTCTAAGTTGTGTCAAGCTGACAAAACAAACAAACAAACAAACAAACAAAAAACCTAGACAGCCCTGTGGCTAATTACCAGAAGCAACTTGCAGATTCAATGCAATCTTTACCAAAACGAGATTCATCTTATAACTTGAAAGAAAAAACAGTCCTAAAATGCATATGGAAGCACAAAGACCTCGAATAGCCAAAGAATTCCTAAGCAGAAAGAGCAGTGGCCTGGGTACATGATTTCAAATTATACTAGAGAATCTTATCGTAGTGAAGCAAAAGACAATCAAACAGCCCAGCATGACACAAAGCAGCAAGAGACCAATGGAATAGGATACCCATAAGAAAATCAGTGCTGTAAAAACAGCATTAAAACCACGTGCTGGCAAAAAGACAGACGCTTGAACAAATGGTGCCGGGAAAATGACATTCCCACATGCAGAAAGGTAAAATTAGATCTGTGCTTCTTACTCTGCTTAAAATCAACTCAAGGGTCTGGGGAGAGCTCAGTGGTTAAGAACACTAGCTGCTCTTTGAGAGGACCCAGGTTCAATTCCCAGCGCCCACACGGCAGCTCACAATTGTCCGCAACTCTAGTTCCCAGGGATCTGATGTCTTCACACCAATGCACACAAAATAAAGTTAAAATACGTTATTAAAAAATCAACTCAAAGTAGATCAAAGATCTTACTGTAAAACCTCAAACTCTAAACTGCCAGAAGACAACAGGCAGGAACCTTTCAGGTTATGAGCATAGGCAAGGGCGTTTTGAGACAGACTATAATAGCTCAGGAAACAACAGCAAGAATTGACAAGCGGGGTGGCATGGGAGTAGAAAACTTCCACCCAGCAAAGGAAACAGCAGACAGAGTAAAGTGCCTATCCCAAAACAGGAGAACAATCTTTCCAGTGATATTTCTGACAGGGCATCAAGAAAGACCTAAAAACATATAAAGAACTTCAAAAAAATAAAAATAAAGAGCCCTAGCCCCAAACATCCAGTCATCAATGGGCAAATTAATTGAGCAAAAAGCTCTCAGAGCAAATAAAAACAACCAAAATACATATGAAAAAAAAAAAAAGCTCAAAGTCCTTAGCTGCAGGGAAACGCAAACCAAAACTACATGGAGCTCCCCCCCCCCCTCTATTCAAGGGGTTATCTGGAAGGAAACAAGGGCTACAAAGCTGGAGAGGGCTTGGGGCAGGGTAAGGCGGGGCGGGGATGGGGTGAGGTGGGGGTGGAGGTGGGGGGTGGCTCATACACTGCTGCTGGGAATGTTGACTAGTGCAGCTGTTGTCTAAGTATAGTGTGGTGGCTATTCAAAAAGCTAAAAGCAGAAGTATCACGCCTGAGCATCCACCTAAAGGAATGGAGATCACCATTCCACAGAGACACTTGGTCATTTACATTCACTGGGCCCCATTGACAATGGCCAAGCTTTAGAATCAGTTTAGATGCTCCTCAACAGATGAATGGATAAAGGAAATATGGAGCAGACACAAGGGAGTTTCATGGGGCTGTAATGAAGAATACAATCACATTGTCTGCAGAGACATAGCTGGGGCGTGAGACCAGCATGTTTAGCAAAATAAGGCAGGCTCAGAAAGAAAATGAGCACACCTCTTCTCATACGCAAAAATCTAGACAAAAGACACACATGGCTTGCACCTTAGTTAGGATTTCTACCGCTGCCCTGAAACACCATAACCAAAAAGCAAGTTGGGGAGGAAAGGGTTTATTCTGCTTACACTTCCGCATCACAGTTCACCTTCACAGGGAGTCAGGATAGGAACTCAAGCAGGGCAGGAAACTGGAGACAGGACTGATGCAGAGACCATGGAGGGGTGCTGCTTAGGCTTGCTCCTCATGGCTTGCTCAGCCTACTTTCTAATAGAACCCAGGACCATCAACCCAGGAACGGCATCACCCACAATGGGCTGGGTCTGGCCCCATCAATAACTAATTTAAAAAATACCCTGCAGGCTTGCCTACAATCCATATTATTTTCTTAATTGAGGTGCCCTCGTCTCAGATGATTTTTTAGGTTGTGTCAAGTTGACAAAAAGCTAGCCAGGACAACATGAAAATATAAGGGGGCTATGCTGGGAAAGGAAGCAGTCCAAAGGCAGATGAAAAAGAATGAGAGCGGATAATGGGGGACAGAAGGACAAATGTCGCAGTTTTCTTCCACGTGTGGAATCTGTAAGTGTGTGTATATTTAAGTAGAAGAACTACATGGGAAGTGTAAAGTAGAAGAGAGTAGTGGTAATTATGAACTAAGTACAATAATACAATGTATGAAAATGACAAAATTAAACCTATTACTTTATACACTAAAAAAAAAAATCTATGAATCCATCCATGGCAGGCCAAATGGATGGTAGTTTAAATAGACTGAGTTAAATAAGGCCATTATTGAAGTTAAGTTTACATGTTTATTTTTCAATTTGACTATAGAAAAATATAAATTTATATATATGTATATATAAACAAAAATACTACACATATAGATCACAATTCTATTTCTATTGGATAGTGTTTATCTGTACTCTGCAATTAAATAAATGAATAAGCTTGTCTTAGTATTTATATGAACATTATTACTGTACAGTTGCTTTTTTTAAAAGCCAACATCATACACTTTGTAACTTTCCGATTGGCACACTGTTGCCAGCTGTCACTGATAATTAATAAATGCTTCTGGATTATTTGCTAAAGCTTCATTCTTTGTCTTTCCAGGTTAAAGTTCATTTGTTTACATTGTACATGACAACATTTCTACAAGAAAACAGCAAAAGTCTGAATGAGAACTGAAAGTGGATGATTTGAATGTAGAAAGTATTTTTTTCATGATTTCTTTCATCAGACTTTCTTTAAAGCTGGGGTTGGTGGCACACCTTTTCAGCCCCAGCACTCTGCAGGTAGAAGCAGGTCGGTCTGCATGAGTTCAGGGCTAGCCTGGTCTACATGGCAAGTGCCAGGTCAGCCAGGGCTACATGGTGAGAACGTGTCTAAAACAAACAAAAAACACAAGCTACTTTTTTGAATTAAAATTCTTTGTTCAGCAGGTTAATATGAAATTTACTATTCCTTCTGTAGATAACCTGGAACATACGGACAAGTAGTATATATTTTTAAAAGAGTAAATCATTTAATTAATTAATTAATTAATTAGAGGTTTGATATTATATAGCGAAGACTGGCCTTCCCTTGCTTTGAGTTTGAGATTGATTTTGGATTCCTGATCCTCCTCACTTCAACTGCCTAGGGTTGGGCTCCCGTGTACACTACCATGCCCGACTGAGAGTAAATTAAGTATTGAAGAAACGGTTTTTTTTTTTTACTTACTTAGATAAAATAATCTATTTTACTTTTCCTTTGTTCACAGAGTATGGGGAAACTGCCTCATTAGAGCAGAAGCGATTCTACAGTGTAGGCAGCCCTGTAGTGCAGACTTGCTTGGGGAATTGATAAATATGGTATTTTGCCTTAACAATAATTTTTTTGCATTAGGTATACTTTGAAAGACGTGAGCTATAAATTTCCATCTTCTGTCAGAGGACAAATTTGGGCCTCAAGGGATCTTGGAGTTACCTTCATCTTCATCTGATGGGAGAAATAGAAGAATGTGCCGGTTTGCTGGTCAGTTACAGAACAACAACCCATTCAGGCTCACACTGCATTGACAGACCTCGACCCTGTAGGGCAACTAGGCCACAGCTTGGGGAGCGCACGGACACAGCATTTAACAGGGGACTAGGCTACTGCCACATCCCCAGAAAGATCTTTGGGACCCTCTGCAGTAGCAGCTTCTCTCAGATTGTCTTTCCACCTCCCCCACCTCCGCAATCCCTTCACCCGACTCCACCCACTTCCTGAGCGCTCTCTCTCTCTCTCTCTCTCTCTCTCTCTCTCTCTCTCTCTCTCTCCCTCCCTCCCTAGTTCCTGCATGGTCACGTTTTTTGCTTAATGAAAATCTGTTCTGGGCCTCTCTCTGGACCTGGCCTTTTTCAGCCTCAATCCACATGGCTCATAATCCATATTCGCCGCATTAGATTTCAAAGGGAGACTTTGGTGCTAATGATCAGACTTCCTGTTTGATGAGACCTGGTAGATCCTTGTTCTTCAAGACCAGGTTTGTGGGGTGGCAAAGACTTGACTTTATGAGACATAGCTCTACATAGCTCCATATAGTCTCTCAAAATAGCTGTTCCGGAGCTCACCAGGCTGGCCTTGAACTTGCGGAGATCAGCCTGCCTCTGGGATTAAAGTCTTAGGCCACTAAAACACTGGTGACTTGGACTATTAATTGGGGTTGGAAAGAGAAATTTTCTTCGTAGTTACAATCGAAACTACTGTAAAAAACAATTTGGGTTGACTTTCTTTTTTTGAAAACTCTGGGCAGTACGAGTATATTACACACACATGATGGGAATAAAGAGGATTTGAATAATTTGAATTATGAACTTGAATGTGGAAAACAATGGAGAGATCTGTCCCAAGATCAAGAACCACGTTTGTCCAATTCAGCAGAACAAACTGGCCTTGAAGAATTCAAGTGTTTGCAAATCGGACAGTTCAGAGTCTTTTTTTTTTTTTTTTTTTTTGTCGTTTCTTGAGCCTCACGCTCTTGGCATACAGAAGAACCCATGTGAGTCACGGTTTTCCTAGGAGACAGTATTCAGCATGTGGGGCGCTTTATCTCTTGTTGGGTAAGATATCCTGGCAGAAGATCAATGCCCAGTATTAGATGCATTAGGCTGCGGGTCCTGCCGGGGTCGGATGGAGAGAGGTGGTGGTACTTTGGGTCCGCATTCCTAGAAGCCTGCCTCCAGCTCTGGCGTCTGCTCTGGGTGCCTCCTCCTAGGCGTGTCTCGGGAGAGTGGGCGGCCCCTTTCCTGAGAGCACTTAGTCTCACTTGGCCCCCCACGCCTCTCCTTCTCCCCTCCCTCTTCCACCTCAGCCTTTCTTTTCGCCAGGGCCACTTCCTTCTTCTGCCTGTTCCTCCCCAGGGTGCGGAAGCAGAGAACCCAATCCAGACCCACGCGGCAGCTGCTCTTCGGTGAAGAAGGAAGCAATCAGAGAGGTGAGCGAGTCCGGGGAGGAAAGGCTGGACCACGGTCTCGGGGTGTGTGGGGGCGAGTACCGGGTTAAGGGTGGGAACGCTGGGGTGCTGAGGTGTGGCTGGACCGGCCCTCCGGGTATACACTTCCCCCGCCCAGTGCCCCACTCGTGGGCACCCCACTCGGCCGGCACACTTCCGCATTGGGCTCACGTGACGTTTTGTCGGGCGGGGCTGACCGGGAAAGGAGCAGCCCGAACCGATGTTTGCAGCGGTGCAATGTGTGGGTTTTGCACTTGGCATCGGTTTGTGGTGCGGTTCTGAAGAGCTGTGTGGGAAAGGGCTGGAGGGGGTCCCGGAGGAATAAAGTGGCATCAGGACAGTGTCCTCTGCAGTGCGGAGGGCGAGTAAGTGAGGGGATGCGGGACTCGTGGGGACCTCGGGCAGCGCCCTTGGGTGCTCTGGGGGACCCTGGACGGGTGAGTTGAGGAGACAAAGGCCTCCGGACTAAGCCCTTCCTGTGGTCCGGGACTCCGCGACCCTGTTCCACCAGTTGAGCGAGTGGTACCCGCTGGCCCCAGGTTTTGAGGACCCATATTTGGCAAGCCCTCAAACTTGTAGGAGGGAATGACCAAATAAGGAGTGTGCACCATCCAACGAAAAGGGAGAAAGGTACCGGGTCAGCCTTTGACCCGCGCCAGCTGTTCGAGATGGAATTGGGTCTGGAAGAGCGCCCAGCTCTCCTGTAAAGTTGGCTGCGGATTCCCAGGGGAGGCGACTCCAGTAGGCTTTATTTCCTTGACCTATTGTCTTTGGAGCTTTAATGCATAACTAGAAGACGCTTCAGACATACCTCTCCAAATTGTATTGATGGCGCTTTGCCGCGTTCGCCACAGCCCTACTCTTTGTGAGCCCCACTCAGACAGCCCAATTAGAGTCTGTGACAGTTAAGTAGCCCGGCTAACATCTGCCACTGCCATTCTTCTGGCCCAGCCTCTCACAGACAGGGTCTTTTTTTTTAGGCTTGCTCTGCTTCTGACCTCTCATTGTTCTTGATCTCGCTCACTGCAGTCGAAGGGGTCTGTCCTGCTTTTAGACTGCCATGGGTCTTCCAAAGATTGTATAATGTGGATGCTTTCTTCTTTGTCCCTCCCATAATAAGTGACTAAAACATGCCAAGTTGTGTATGCTAGCAGTAGTAAACCCGTTATTTTCCTATTCATAGGGGTCCAGACAGGGAGCCTTTTCTTGCTTTATAAATGATCCGCCTTAATAAGTACTCAGTATATGATATTACATAAGAATACACTATTACATTAGGTTCATTTGCATAATAGCGAAGGAAGGGGAAGAAGTGACAAAGTGATGTGTTAGGAACAGCGCTTTGTGGCGCTAACCATTGTGAGGTTTGTTTCATTCTCAATAAAACGGGGTAAGTACTAAGTGCTCTGTCGTGTTCTTAGCATTTTATGAATTAGGGTAGCTGAATGGATGGATCAGTGCTTATGGGCACTTGCTGCGGAGCCTTATGACCAGAGTTTGATCCCTGGGACCCGCATGGGAAGCCCATTAGCTGTGTCTGACCTCCACATTCACACCCTCCCAAAATAAATAAATGCAAAAAAAGATTTTTTAAAAAAATAATAAAAGGATTATATAAATTAACTCAGAGAAGGAGTCTGGTGTGTAGTTAATTATAAAGAAATGCCCCTTGCCTTCCCTCCTGAAAACTGGATAAGTGCCCATTTTAATGTAAGCGTTATCATACTGCACATAAGAGAGGGCCTTCCTCTTTGTTTCTCATTGTTAAATGGTATATAAAGCCGAAGTATCTCCTTGGTGTCCAAAAAGAGAGACGATGTTGAAGAGAGAAATACACGGACAAGAGACTCCGAAGTCTCTGACCTGGGATGTTTCAATCTCCCTTCAATCCTGGTTGGCTCTTTTTTTTTTCTCTTTTCATTCTCACAAATCCTTACTTCCAGAAACAGGACAGTTTGGTAGAGAATTTTTATACGGCTCCCAAATCTTGTCTTGTGTCGCTCCCCCACACCTGCGTACGTGTGCATGCAGGTGTATCTTGGACGTGAGTGTTCAGGTGCAGATGTAAGTATGGACACTCAGAAGTCTGAGGACAATCTCAGGTGTTATCCTCAAGGATTCCACCACCTACCTCCTTTGAGACAGGTTCTCTCAGTGGCCTGGAGTCCACCATTATGCTAGACTGTTTGGCTGTGGAGCTGGGTGCCCCCTCCCATATCTGTCTCCCCAGATACCACACCCAACATTTTTATGGAGGTTCTGGGGCTCAAACGCAGGAACCTCGTGCTTGCAAAGCAAGTATTTTACTAACTGAGCCATTCCTCCAGCCTTCAGATCTGCTTTCCTGTTGTAGCTGTTCATCCTAACCAATAGAGCAATACCCAACAAGACTATGTATAGAAGTACATTACAAGGATGTCATTCTTTTTAAATATGGTTGGTTGCTTTTTAAATAATAGTTCATTAGGCTAGCTTTTTGTATCAATAGTCTTCAGCATGCAAGTAATAGAAATTCATACAAAACACTACACATTATAAACAGGGAAAATGTCATTGGTTCCTATAACCAAAATATCCAGGATCAGGAACAGGCTGAATCATTTTCCTTCTGCTGGATTTCCCAGTCAAATCTTCCCATAGGGTAACCATTTACTCTGGAACCAGTGGAAAGGGAGTTATTTACTAATAGTCTAGCAAAATCTTAGGGTTGAACTTGACTGTTCTGAATGAGAGTATTTGTCCTGGGACCTCCACATATATGCGCCCCTCCCCCAAATAAATGTTTTAAAGCTTAAAACTAGAAGAATTACATGAATTGACTCAGTTGAGGAACCTGAGGCTTCTGACCAATCCTACTGACTCAGGTTCACTTCCGGAGAGGGGACTGCTCTGTCCACACACATGACTTTATAGTAAATACAGAAGTGTTGTATCCAAACAAAACTCAGACTGCTTGTGCCAGAGTAGGAAACAGTATGGACCCCACTCACCCCCAAATAGCAGCTGGCCACCGCTGACACAGACAGGTTTATTCTACATCCTCTGGGGGATGTTTTAGCTCTTTAATGTCCTTTTTAAACTGTGCCATGCTTTCACCAACACAAAAAACCCTAAGAGAGCAGTACAATTTTTTTTTTTTTTGACAGAGTTTCTCTGCCCTGGCTGTCCTGGAACTTGCTCTGTAGACCAGACGATCTCGAACTCACAGAGATCCACCTGCCTCTGCCTCCTACGCACTGGGCTTAAAGGCATGCACCACCATACCAGGCTTGGATAGTATAATTATTAATAACAAGTTTTAGAAAGTTGCATTTAATCGACAATTTTGCATTTTCCTGTAGTGTCGGCCCCTTGAACTACAATGTTCATGCAAATAACAGCAGATGGTAGTGGCACTTTTAATTATCCGCCGATAGGAAATCTGGTGTCCCAATCAGTATCATCTCAGCAGGTGGTATCCAGTTGGAGGCGATGCTCTTACTTTAGAAGCTACCAGGAATCATAATAATCCATCCGGATGAAGTTGTTTCTGTCGGGTCATCACCTGGAAGGAAACAGTGAAACAGCTCCACCTTCAGCTCCTTATTCAGCCTGGAGAACCTCTCTTGGGAAAGACTGAATGGATGTCCCTCCTGCCCGGTCACTTGCTGGTCTCCGTTGGTGGTGTTCTCTCCCCTCATGCCTTTGATTGTTCTTGTTAGTTCATGAAGCAGTGTTTGTGCTGGGCATGCTAACAAGGACTATTTAAGTCAGATCCCTGTGGAGAGCATTTTCCTTCTAGCTAGAAACCCCCCCAAACCAGTAATTCCTTCCGAGTGAAATAAAAGAGGCGTACAGTGTGGTGGGAACACCCAGTAGGGGAGCGCTCCTCAGATTAGGGAATGCTTTCTGGGGGGGTGTTCCATCCAAGCTGGGACTGATTCATGAGCCTCAGGAGGGGAATGGCAGTAACCTGAGCAGAAGAGAGCGTGCAGAGAAGGCCAGCGGTATTGCCAGGGATAGTTGAGGACTAGAAAAATTCCTGCAGCTGCAGCTTAGCGCTCAAGCGTACAGTGGAGGAGGCTGGATCAGAGGCCTGTGGAAGATGCAGCAAGCCACAGAGGAGTTAACATGACTTATCGGGCTCAGCTCTTATTAATCTGGACTCTTCACGATGGGAAACAAATGGGCTTCACTATAAGCTGTGCAGTGCAGTCGGCTTTCATGGGCAGAATCCAGAGAAAGGTGCAAGGTGCCTGTGTGTGAACTGGAAGTTATCACTGCACTGACCGGAGGCTATTCAGGCGGCCCTGCATGGGTCTGGGTTACGGCTAGACCCTAGGCTCCTGAAGAGCAGGGAACATGTATTTTATCTTGGCCCCTCTGTCTCCTAGCTCAGCGCCTGCCCCAGCTGTGCCTTGGGCTTTCTCCTTTTTCTCCATAATTTTCCATTTACTTTTCCCATTTGTCCACTTGATCTACCCCGTCATCTCCAAAAAGGGACCCAGCGCTGAGAGAATGCTTGCCATGTTGCTCTTTGTTGAAGGCCTTTCTCTGCCTTAAACATGGATCCCGTTACCTTTTGTAGTTTGGGTGCTTAGCAGAACTCTGTGACAAGATGTGCAAGGAGTAATGCCGTGGTGAGGAGAGAGGCCATCTTCTCCCTAGTAGCCAGGAGTGGGTCAACAGAGAGGGAAGGTCTATTGGTCGAGGGAAATTACTTCATTATGTTCAAATGCATTACTTCGTACAAGTAGAAAGGGGGCGTGGTCAATAAAAGTGACAAGCTTCATGAGAAGGAGAAGGACCCTTGGGTTGCTGTGCCTGATGGGATAGAGAAATGGCTGTAATAAAGGCTTCTTTTCTCTTCCAGTCCGCAATGAATGTGGATCATGAGGTGAACCTCCTAGTAGAGGAAATTCGACGTCTGGGGTCTAAAAGTAAGTATTCTAACGCAGGGTGTTTCTTCTGAGTGCACTCCTACACAGGCATTCTGGAGCAGCTGCCCAGGACTTAGGGCAGAGTGCACACTCGGTTCACAGCCCGAGACGGTGATGCTCTTAGCTTTCAAGGGGTGTTTGAGACATGGGGCTGTTGGGGTGTTGGGTTTCTGAGGCAGAGAGTAGCTGAGATGTTTTGGTGGTTTTTGAATTGAAAACTCCCTGAGCTTCTTTTGTTTGCGTTAAAGACTGGCATTTTAGGGTTTTTTTTTTTTTGTGTGGTTTTTTTTTTTTTTTTTTGGCTGTTAAAATTTTTGTTTTCTGCCTTATTTTATAAATTTACAAGTGACTAGAGATTTAGAGGGAAATTACACTAAATTGTATTAGTCAGGCCCCTCTAGGGCAACAGAACTTATAGAACAAATCTATATATGTATAGAAAGGGGATTTACTAGAATCCTTACAGGTTGTGGTCCAGTAGCCCAGAAATGGCTGTCTACTAATGGAAGGTACAAGAATCCAGTAGTTATTCAGTCCCAGCTGGTCTTCAGTAGATGCCAGAATCCCGAAGAATAAGGCTCTGCTGTCAGTGAGGAAATAGATTTGCCAGTGAGAGAAAGCAGGCAAAGAGAGCAAGCTTCCTTCTTCCATGCCTTGTATATTGGTATTGGTATTGGTATTGGCTGCCAGCGGAAGGTGTGGCCCAGATTAAAGGTGAATCTTCCCAAATCCTCCAAAGATCTGGATTAGAAGTGGGCCTTTCCACGTCAAATGATTTAATTAAGAATAAAAACCTCTCACAAGTGTACCCAGCTGCTTAAGTTTTATTTGAATTAGCTCTAGATGGAGTCAAATTGACAACCAAGAATAGCCATCACAATTTTCTTTATTTTTCTATAAATTCTTGGGATTTGTACAATTTCAAACATAATAGTAAAATAAACCAACTGATTTTTTTTTTTTGGTGTCTTTGACTTCATTGGCCAAGCAGCTATTGTGCGTGTTGTGAGGATAATGTGTAAAATTGGTGTGTGTTGTCTTTCTCCTAAGTAGCATTAAAATGGTTGTATTTATAGCATGAGATATTTGCTACATCTGAGATGTACAGGATTGGAGAGCATATTGAATGTAAGAACAATGAGCATATGGAATTCAAAGTTATAAACTTATTATGTAAATGAAAACTAATGTTCCAGAGTATCTCATAAACAAACGTATACTCTTTTCATTTCAGCACTCGGGAGGTGGAGGCAGGAGGATGACAAATTGAAGGCCACACTGGCCAGCACAATGAAACCCTATCTCAAACAAACAAACAAAAGAAGCTATGTCAGTACAGCTTGAGTCTTCTTAGAATTGTTTGCTTATGAATTACAAATCCTTTAATCTAGAAGGATAGACACACTTTCAAAACTTCCACTAAGCTGTTATTTCCTACTGTCTCTTGTGTTAGATGTCTTCCTTTTCTCTGTGTATATGCACGTAGAAGCCAAACATTAATCTCGGGCATTATTTTTTGGGACTTCTCTTGAGTTTTGTTTTTATTTTTATTTTATTTTTTTTTTGAGACAAGGTCTCTCATTGGGTCATGGGGCTCACCAAACAGACTAAGCTGACTGGCCAGGGAGCCCCAGAACCTCTCTGTCTTTACCTCTTCAGTGTGCAACGCCCCCCCTTTTCTTGTTGGTTCTGGTAATTGAATTCAAGTCCCCAGGCTTGCGCAGGCAAGGACTTCATCCATTTAGCTATCTCGCCAGCCCCATGCATTTGTTTTCTCTTCTTGCTATAGCCAGTTATCACAGACTTAGCCAGATGTTTAACACCAGGACACATTTCCTATTTTGTATAGTTCAGGCGCTTTACAGGCTCAGATCCAGGTGCTGGCTGACTTCAATCCTTTCTGGAGGGTTTTGCAGAGACTGTATGTCTGGAGGGTTTTGCGGAGACTGTATGTCTGGAGGGTTTTGCGGAGACTGTATGTAGTCCTTATTTTCACTCTTCTGTAGCACCTGCATTCCTAGGCTCATGGCTCTCTCCCCCTGCACCAGCAGCAGTGTGGGGAGCCGGGTGTCCTCACCCTGCACTACCCTGCCTTACTCTCCCATTCTTAAGAACTCCCAGGATTCCATATTAATGGATCCAGATAATCCAGGATAATGTCCCATTTTAGAGCCCCTACTTAATCACATTTGTAAAATTCCTTTTGCTTTGTAAGGTAATGTTCTCCAAGTTCTACGGAATAGAACATGGATTATTTTGGGGTGGCGATATTCTCCCTAGCCCCCTTTGGCAGACCCGGTATAGAATTCATGCTCAGACATGCTAAGCAGGTGCTCCACCATGAAGCCAGTCCCAGCTTCCTCCTCCTTGAGCCGTCTCTAGTCATTTTATTTGGACATCATAACTGAAATGTCAAGACAGAGACGTATGGAAGTGTGTTTGAGGTCACAGCCACATGCGTTTAATCATCTTATCACTGACTGATACTGCTCTCCCATATGTGCCAAGCCCTGTTTAAGTACATGTGACATAGGCATGTTCTTTTTCTTCAAGCATCTTATTACTTAATTGATGAAAATACCTAAAAATTGATGAGGCAAGTATCAGAAAAAAAAATGGCTTGCCAGACTGTGAAGTGCTGGCATTCAGTTCAAGATAGTTCCAGTGCCATAGATTAGCGATGACTGTAGAGTTGGGGGCACATACTTGGTTAAGCCTAGACTAGGTGGTACTTGGATGTGTAGAAGCATAGGCAGGTGAGTTGAGGAGGGGATATATGAGCTGAACTAGGAATGGGAATGAACTGAAGCTTGTGCAGGACACTGAGAAGACACTGGAGAGTGTAATTTATTAATATTTGGGTTCTCAGGCAAACCAAATCTTTTCCTAACTTTACTCTTCTCTTACCCCTCACTGTACCCATGTCTGGAGAGGGTTGTCTGATTTTCACTAATGCCACTCCTATTTGTGTTCTTCTCCCTCATCTCCTGGGTCTCTCCAGCTCCAGTAGGGTCACATTACTTGGAATTAGTTTGGATTGGTAAGAGTGTATTCCCAACAATTTGCAGACTGTTCCTATTCATGACAACCTGGTGTTTGCTGGTCAGGTTCAGCTGGCCTTAAAACTCTAACCTTTGCACTCCTAAAGAGTGTCAGTGTTCTACTCGGGCGATCTGAAGCTCCATTTCAAAACGATCAGCTTTACAAATTACAAGACAAGGTCATTAGCATAACATCCATATGCATGAAAATCCTTTAAATGTCACAGACGTACTAGAACACCTTGACTTCATTGTTGGCAAAAGATGACTGATGGAGTTGGAAAGCAGATATGGAACTATGCCATCTTCTGACATGTGATGGTTATTTTACTTGAGGCTGGAGTGATTTTGATTAATCTACAGATGAAGTATGTGCTCCTACTAGAAACTGATGAAGGAAATTTTTGTCTGTTTCTTTGAAAGTCCGAATCTTTAAAGTCTCATTTTTCATCCAGTTAGAGAAGATGAAGTGGAGACTATGATTATTTGGAGATTTAAATTCTTTCATCCAACAAGAATTCTTGAGTACCCACTTTGGGCTTGAGTATAGAGACTATAGAATTGAAAAAGAGATTTTATTTCGGTCCTTAAGGTCTTCTTGAGGCAGCTGGAAGATGAACAGACTGGAAGTGTACTGGGAAGAGGTTGTGGGCTTAGTTAGCTGTGATGATACTTGCCTGTAATCCCAGCTCTTGGTAGGTCATGGCCACCCAGGATTAATGAGACCTTTTCTAAAAGTTTTTTTAAAAGAAGGGCATGTTGGAAGCTGGACTCCAGTCAGACTTGTTCTTATACTTGTTCTTATACTTGCTGGGTGATCTTGTCTATCTTATCACATTTCTGTATCTTGGTTTCTTTATTTGTCTAATAATAATGTTTGATTAATCCAGACGCTTTTCATTTTAAAGTCTCTAAAATAGAATGCATTTTGTTGTTATGTTTGTCTTTTTGAGACAGGATACAGCCTTGACTGTTCTGGAACTAATACTGTAGACCAGACTGTCCTTGAACTCACAGAGATTTTCTTGCCTCTGACTCTGCCTCCTGAGTGCAGGGATTAAAGGTGTGCACCAACACTATCTGGCTTAGAATGTATCTTCATATTGCTTTGCTTTATTGAACTTGGCAGTTTAATTGGATATAAAATAATGGTGCGTCGTGAAACCAATGGTGTCTTTTCTTACACGAAATGAGGGTCGACTGCATTTTAATGACTGTAAAGTTCACTCAACAGTTCTAAGAACATGGCAAGTGCTCAGTAAACACTGCCTAATGTTACTGAAGTTGATGGTGTGTGCTTTGATAGCCACACAGTTTAGTAAGAAGAGATAACTAGAGGGATTGAGAATTGTGAAGGAAGTCTTAAGGAAGGTTACAGTTGACTCTGTTCTTGAATAAAGGCATTTAGGTAGAGAAGAGGGTCTGGAATGCTGCGCTGGGTACAGTTACAAAAGCCAGGTCTCCTGGGCAAGAACAGACAGTTCATTATGACTAAATCCAAACATAAAGTTATAGAAGACCAGTCAAGCGTTGGATGCTCAGCCACAGAGAGGTAAAGAGAGGCCATGCTCTTCGCTTTATTTTGAAGATGCTGGGGACCATTGGAAGCTTAACGTAGAATAGTATCCATCAGATTTGCATCTTATAAAATGTCTTCCATATGTTTTATTTCCCATTAATGTGAATGGTATGTTGGGGACAAAAACAGGGAGAGGGAGACTGGTGAGGAGTAACCAGTTACAGCTTGAAGTTATCTGGGTGCACAACAGTTAGAGCTTCAACTCAGCAATGCATGGCCATTGGAGATAAGCAGATAGAATTACAAAGACACAAGGAAGGTGTAGTCACCTGAATATTTGTCAAATTGAAGGACAAGAAGGAAGGAGAACTCTAGGATTATACCCAAATTCCTGCATTTGGTACCTTTAAAACATGTATTGTAAATTGGGGTTTACTATTCTGGCAAGTTTTTAGATGGCTCTACTGGTACCAAGTCCATTAACTCTGCACAGTCCTGTCAAGTACATTTTCACTTTCATTTGCTGGATGTGGTAACAGAAGGCCAACACTTGAGGGCTGTCCAAGACTAGCCAGTGCCTTTACTTACATCAACCCAACAACAGTTGACAGCTTCTTAAACAGCAGACCTACTTTTCATCTAGTTTTTAATAAATATCTTATAAACTGATATCCATGAGAGATAATCCTGTAAAAAATGTCTGGGTCTCCCCACAAGAACTGAGATTCAGTGGTCATAATAGACAGATATGCCCTGTTTTAAGGCCTTCATTCCAAGCCTGGACACTGAGTATGATTATAACATGCTCTTTCCCTTCCATTTCTTGTCTTTATTAACCTGGCAGCTAACAGAATTTTCTTTTTCTTTTTTCTTTTTAAATTTTAAACACAGCACATAAAGTGTGAGTGGTTTTTTTTTAATATTTATTTATTTATTATGTATACAATATTTTGTCTGCGTGTACGTCTGCAGGCCAGAAGAGGGCACCAGATCTCATTACAGATGGTTGTGAGCCACCATGTGGTTGCTGGGAATTGAACTCAGCACCTTTGGAAGAGCAGGCAATGCTCTTAACCACTGAGCCATCTCTCCAGCCCCCAGAATTTTATTTTTCAAAAGGATTTATTTTTTAAAAGTTTTATTTTTTAATCAAATGTGTAAATTTTTGTGGGTGTTTTGCCAGCATGTATGTGTATGCACCACATTCATGCCTGGTGTCCATAGAGGTCAGGAGAGGGCATCAGATCCTCTGGAACTGGAGTGACAAATAGTTGTGAGTGGCTATGTGGATGCTGGGGATTGAACCCTGGGTCTTCAAAAAGAACACAGCCAGTGTTCTTCACTGCTGAGCCATCTTTCTAGTCCCAACTAACAATTTCGAATATCAAAACTGAGAAAAATTCATCTACAGCCTTCCGAACACACACACACACACACACACACACACACACACATTTATATTATATAAACTTTGAGACAGGGTCTCACTATGTAGCCCTGGCTGGATTTACACTTGATATGTAGACCAACCTGGCTTTGAACTCACAGAGCTCTGCCTGATTCTGCCTTTTGAGTGCTGAGATTGAAGGTGTGCATCACCACGACTGACCACACTCACCTTTCATAAATGCTTCTTTCTGTCCTTCAGTCTTTGTCTACAAAGCATACCATGTTTGTTCTGCTACTTGAGTGTAGATAGAGGCTTCGTGTTTTATTTTAATCTTGGCTACCCCTGGGTAGATGTTTTCCGAAGATGCCCCAAGTTTGCTATCCATGGAGGCAAGACACGTTTACTAACGTTGTGTTTCTGCAATTAGATGCTGATGGGAAGTTAAGCGTGAAATTTGGGGTCCTCTTCCAAGACGACAGATGTGCCAACCTCTTTGAAGCATTGGTGGGAACTCTGAAAGCCGCAAAGCGAAGAAAGATTGTTACATACACAGGAGAACTGCTTTTGCAGGGTGTTCACGACAATGTTGACATTGTACTGCTGCAAGATTAATGTGGTTTGTGTATCTTCGTATCTCCGGTAAACTGGAATAATTAAGTCAAAAGACAAACATACGCTTCCTTATGTATTTTTATAGGACTTTGTAAACAAGGGGGACTCATTGAAAAGTCCTGTTTTTATACCTTGAAACATTACACTGTAAAGTAAACAAAACCTATTATTTTTCTTAAGAATGTGATTGGGAAATGCAGGCAATGAAACATTTTTGGAGGTGTGAGAGGAGTTTTTGTTTTTCTTGATTTATTCTTGGAGAATTTCTACAGGCACTTGACATTCTGTCAAAGCAAGAGGCAAATTGAAGATCAGCTGCCATGAGGAACGCTGTGTTTATGTAATAAAAACATGTAACTGCCTTTAAATTCGTGATAGCTGTGTTTTGTCATTAAGTATGAGTGTACCTCTTACAATTGAGATTTTGTATCAAAACCAGGTCACTGTAGTAAAAATGACCTTAATTTAGAAAAAAAAAAAAGATCTTAAAACCCACAAAGTTAACTAAATAAGAATTATGGTTTTGATGTGGATGCAAACTTAGCCCCCGAGTCAGGGGAAAAGGCAAAAAACTACCTCTTTACCTTTCTGTTAGATTCAAACAATAGGAAGTGTTGGAGGAGGGCTGTTTGTAGGTTTCCCAACTAGCTTAGACCTGAAACAATCACACAAAAACTGTATTAATTAAATCACAGCTTGGCCCATTAGCTCTAGCTTCTTATTGGCTAACTCTTACATATTAATCTGTGTATGTGTAATAAGGACAGCGGGTCCTTTTGTTTCGTCCTGCCCGGCTAGTTTAACCCCCGAAATAACCACTGTATTCATTTAAATATTGCCTGGCCCATTATCTCTAGCCCCTTATTGGCTAACTCTCACATATTAGTTTAACCCATCTCCATTAATTGTATTGCCACTTGACTGTGGCTTACCAGCATAAGTCTAACCAGTGTCTGTCTTGGGCAGAAGAACCATGGCAGCTGCCACACTGCCCTTCTTCCCAGCATTCAGTTCGGCCTACTCCACCTATCTAAATTCTGCCCTATCAAAAGGCCAAGGCAGTTTCTTTATTCAACCAATGAAAGCAACACAGATAGGAGAACCTCCTACACCATGAATCACTACGTGACAATGGCTTACCACCTAAAGTTCCCAGCATCTGTCTCCGGGGGCTCCATGGCTTCTCTTTGACTCAGTCCTCCTTCTCCCAGTATACAGCCTAGTTTTTCCTGCCTACCTAAGTTCTGCCTTGCTATAGGTCCAAAGCAGTTTCTTTATTCATTAATGGTATTCACAGCACACAGAGGGGAATCCCACACCAAGGAAGCTCTCTGTGATTGCACGGTGCAGCCACAGCACACGGCTGAAGATGATGGAGACCGTTAAGCAGGGTTCTGTCAGTGAAGGCCACAGTGTCCAGAGTGCACATCCTAGAGTAGGCAGGGTGGACATTGAGAAGTGACAAGAAAGATGGGACAAAGTGATGACTATAGCAGGGGCGTGTGTTACCAAGGCAGGATCTTGTGTAAGGGAAGCCATGAGGCTGGCCAGGAAGAGCATGGAAGGGAGAGGTGATTGAGAAGAGACAGTCTCCTTGGAAACTCAGAAACCAGAGAGGAACTGACCAGAAACCAGGCATGGTGGCCCATGCCTACAAAGCTCAACACCTGGGAGAAGAGCTAGGAGGATTGGAAACTGGAGGCGAGCCTGGCGGGGACCCACGTGGCGGCTCTGTCTCCGAAGGGTACAAAGTTGGAACACAGGCTTCCCATGGTGAATGTGATGTTTCTGTGTCGTGATGGTGACAGCAGGTACCCTGGTCTAGGTGATTAAGTTCATGATGGTGAAGGATCTGGACCAGCAAAGAATTATATAAACACCCAAAGGCAAAGGAGAAACATCTTCTAAGCCCATGTTTAAGAAAAGTTAAATTCTAAAGCAGTTCACTGCTGGGACAGGACTGCAGCTCAGACTCCTCATGGCTACTGTGATAAGTTGGCTGACCAGCATTCTTATCCACACTGATACCCACAATGCAGTTTTCTGAATTTCCCTTTAGGTTCCAGGTGGTCATTTCTTTTGTAACAACTGTAGGTATGACTCTTCGTTGGATCATTCATAATTATTTATTGCATTTATTTTTTGCCAAATTTACAGTGAAATCTCTCTTTCTTGGCCACAAACTGGGTTCCAGTTAATTATCCTAGTAATATGCTTGACTTTCTTTGCTGTACAGCCCAGGAGCACCTGCCCAGAGATGGCACTACCCCACGTGGGGCTAGGCCTTCCCACATCAATCACTAATCAAGAAACTGCCCCACAGATAAGCCTACAGGTCACTTGGCCAGTCTGGTGGGTATGATTCCTCAGTGGCAGTCCCCTCTTTCTCAGGTGACTCTAGTTTGTGTTAAGTTGGCCAACTTAACCAACACAAAGGATTTTAGATGTGGTGGTGTCATTCCAGAAAAAGGCAGAGGAATCTAGTAACCTGAGGAAAAAGAGTCTCAAGATCTGCACTGCAAGGGAAGCCTGGAACATTATTTAAAAAAAAAATTCTTAAGCTATACCAACTCTAGGTTTATGTATGAACAGTGGATTGTAAAGAACTTCTAGGGACAACTTGATAGCACTGCTCGCTATGCAGTAACTTTTTCAAGTTCTACAACAGCATCTTCTCACATATTGAAATTATATGGCAATCTAATTATAGCTCGTCGTCATCATGGTGAATGCGAATAGTGACTAAGGATGCATATGACTTTTGCATATGCAAATTTCCTTTTGTTCCTGTCATAGAAATCCAACCGTTATGCCTTGGTATCATGGAGTCATAAGTTAAAAATAAGCTAAAAAACCAAAAAACAGTTGATTTGAGGGCTTTTATTGAGCCGCTAACATCCAGGTCTCCCTGATGTCTGGACTATGCCCATGGCTCCAGACAAAACAGTGGGGAAAGCCCTGGAGCTGACAGACAACTCATAAAAGCATACGCTGGCACAGAACAGGCCAGCTTCTCTGTATGGCCTGGGTTATTGAGTTCATCACTGTCCTCTGTGTCTAGAAAAGGTCAAGAGAAATGGGCCATCTTTAATTTATATATAGGTAAACAATCTCGGGGTTTCCTTTTCCCTAAAAAAAAAAAGTTATAAATAATTCTTCAAAGAAAGCCATCGCCTCAGGAGGCTTTGATGGTGAGAAACCAGAAACAAACCTGCTTTTCTGGAAGATGACTCAGTGTGAAACCCTCATCTCTTATAGTCTTTATCTCTGGCAGCCTCAACAAAATTTCCTTTAAAACGTATTTTTCTTATATCTCCCCTTTGAATTGCTGGCTTGTTTGTCGGTTGGTTTTTGTTTAGTTTTTGACATTTTCATTTAAAGAGAATGGAAATCCACTTGGCTATGTAAAAGGACTAAGTTGTAGGGTAGACTCGGGACATTTCAGAATACAGTAGATTACTTGGAAGGCAGAGGTGGGTAGATAAGCGAGTTCAAGGCCAGCCTGGTCTCTGGAGTGAGTTCCAGGACTGCCAGAGAGGGAGGGAGGGAGAGAGAGAGAGAGAGAGAGAGAGAGAGAAAGAGGGGAGGGAGGGAGGGAGGGAGAGAGAGAGAGAGAGAGAGAGAGAGATACAGTAGACCTTATGCAGTCCATAAGGGAGCCGCTTGAGATGAGGACTCCGTGCCAGAGGGTATCTGAATGACTCTTGTAGCTTCCCCCCCCCCATCTTGCCATTTTGTAGTTTTTTTTTTTTTTTCTTTTAGGTGCAGTGATGTTTTGCCTTCATGTGAGGGTGTCAGGTTCCCTGGAACTTGACTAACAGACAGTTGTGAGCTGTCATGTGGGTGCTGGAAACTGAACCCAGGTCTTCTGGAAGAACAGTCAGTGCTCTTAATGGCTGAGCCATCTCTCCAGCCCTCATTTTGTAGCTTTCCAACACCTGAGTACCCTGGAGATTTGATCTGTGGGTCTAGATGTGGCCCAAGCACAAGCATGGGTGTGCAAGTAACCCTTCACTTCACGGGGGCTGCCATGTTGACACCACCCTGCCATGTTCATAGATTCAGGCTTGCTCTTTGTTCAGCTTTTCCTTCTCTTATCTTTTCTCTAACTCAGCTTCTACTTTATCTTGAGTAACTGGGTCTTAGTCCTTGTGGACAGCTGTCTCCTACAGTGTGAGTCTCTACATCTGAGCTCAAATGCCAGAGGAAAGGACTGGCCAACAGGTACGATGTGGCCATTAGATGGTAAAGGTCATTTCTAGCCTTTCAGCTATAAGGTGGGTGACTGCAATTAACTGTAACATATTAAGTACTTGGAAATAATGAGAAGAGAAGATGTTTTCAATGTCCTTACCACAAAGAAATGAGCAGTGGTTGAAGTACTAATCATCTTGATTTAATAATTACACAGCACATGCATTCAAATAGCATAGTGTACCCTATAAATGTGCACTATTATCATTTGTTAATTAAAGCCAAACCAAAACAGATGCCCAATGGATGCCCAAGAGGCCCAGTTTGCCCATAACTGACAACTTTTTGTGCCAAGGCACCTCGTGGGTCAGGGCCAGCCAGGGACTGATGGGGCCAGCTGGCTGGCCCCGTTCTAATTAGTTGTGGTTGCCATGTGGCAAGGTGAGGCACATAGAGCAGAGCGGTGGTGAGGAAGGCATAGCCCAGGGTGTGGCTTGAGTTACCAGAGGGTTAGAGTTTCTGCACAGGGTCTGAGTGCTGAGATATTTTAAAGGCCTGTAGATCTGGCAGGCAGAGAGACTGCATTCCAATAATCCTGTCTTTATGGAGTCTGATTTATGAGAGTAACTTCTACTTGAGAGGACATGGTTATTCCTGTTAAGAAAAAAAATATTGCTCCCAAGTGGTTGCTGTATTTTCTAGACCTTCCAACGTTTTCTATATATTGAGGAAACACATGCCTTTTATACATAACATCCTTCTATCTTTAAAATAGAAATTCTGTCTTTATGACTAATAAGATAGAAACTCATATAAACTTTGCTGAAGCTAGCTGTCGAAATTTTATATTCCACGTACTACATAGCTTCTTAACCATAGGCACAGAACTCTTGGGGAGAATTCAGCCACTATTGACTTTATCACATGTGCGATTCTGGAAGCACTTACAGAAGTGACTGGGATCCTGCTCCAGTCAGTAGAGGTCCTCGTCTGTGCTCAGCTCTGGTCTTCACAATTTTCTGATATGCTTGGGATTCTCCGGTGAGGAACTACTTCCTCTCCAGGGTTTCAGAGACCTTGGTTGTGTGTGTATGGTGCAGAGAAGTCCTTGTCTAGATGGTCATCAGCTCAGTGAGCAAATGACCAACCCACTCACCTTATTTCCAT